TTTTCAAGAAATTGTAACTTTACATTGTTTACAAATATTGTGAATACTCGCCGGTATCCACCTGCTATAATCAAGCTTTTAAGCTGGTCACTAAGTTTTTCCGACACCTAGATTGGCTTTGTATGCGCTATTGGGGCCGCCTTGTACTTACTATATTATTAAGACTTGATTATATWGCAAATCAAAACGATTTGCTAGCTGATGAGAATGTCTAACTAATCGAGAACAACTTGTCTCATAATGACAGAGCAAAATAAACAACATTCACAGCTTAAGGATGAGATATTTCTACACTTGGGCGCATGCTTTAAATTCTGTATTCTTAGTGTTCTACCCTGGTTTTTTGGATATTATCATCTGAGCTTCGCATGGATCATCCTTTTGCTGTCAATTGGGGCATTTCTTCAATCTGGACACCTCTTAACGCAAAAGAAAAAGAAATTACACAGGCTAATAAAGGAGGAAGACGATGTTAAGGAGATTTGGCCTAGCATGCCATCATGGATTTACTTCAGCGAAGAAGAACACGCTATGTGGCTCAACAAAATTCTCGATCAAATGTGGCCCTACGTTGAAGACATGGTTGAAGACATCCTTAAAAAATGCGTCGAGCCTGCAGTTCAAAGTTACCTCCCAGCTCCGCTGCAGTGCTTGTGCTTTGAAAAAATCTCCTTAGGGCAGACTCCACTGTACATCACAAACATACGCACCTATCACGTATGTACGTCTAAGAGAGACGACGAGTTCATCATGGACCTTGATGTCGTTTACAATGGAGATGCACAYTTTGTTTTAGGAATTAAAAAGGTGAAACTCGGGGTTTCCGATTTGGAAATCCACGGCCCCTTGCGCGTGATATTTAAGCCTTTAGTTTCAGACTACAACCCAGTGGGAGGAATTAGTGTGTTTTTCTTAAACCGACCAAAAGTAACCTTTGAATTGACAAACTTGCTAAGTGTGTTGGACATACCTGGAATCAAGGAATTGTTGCTTGATATCGTACAAGATGTTTTGGCCTCATTTGTTGTACTACCCAATAGAATCTCTGTACCACTTGCTCTTAATGTAGACTACGGTGATTTACAATACCCTATCCCAGACGGTGTCTTACGCGTCGAGATTGTRGAAGCCAAAGATCTARTCAAGGCTGACAAGGCTTTAATAGGCGAGGGAAGCTCAGATCCTTATTGTATCGTTGAAATAGGGGCACAGAAGTTCCGCACYAAGACTAAAAAGAGTAATTGCAATCCTGTATGGAAAGAGACCTTTGAAGCRTTCATCGACAACACAGAAGGRCAACAACTATTTGCCAGAGTTTACGATGAGGATGTCGCTAGTAAAGATGAAGAAATCGGCCATGTTGACTGTAAAGTCTCGCAGACCATTGAAAAGGGTACATCTGATATGTGGCTTGCTCTCCAAGGAGTTCAGGAAGGCCGCATTCGCATGAAGTTAAATTGGTTTACGTTGACAGTCAATCCTGAAGATGTACGTCAAGCTACACCTGTGAACCCGACTGTGGCTGCCCTTTTTGTTAAAGTGATCAAAGTCATCGACCTGCCAGCTGATTTGAAGGACGAAGCCAATCCCAAACTTTTATTTTGTAATGTCCGTGTTGGCAAGGCAACGCATGATACATATACTGCATATAGTACGACTCCAACATGGGATCAAAGAATGCGGTTCCTTATAAGCAACCCTCGCACTGAAAGCGTTCGTATTCACYTGATGGAGGGCGATAAAATACTGTGCCATGTTAACTTTGATATCAAGCGAATTGAAAACGTCCCTGGCATGGCTCACGAAGGTGCATTTCCTCTTACTGGACCAGGCTTCGAGAAAAGTGCTTTGAAGTGTCGAGTTGAGCTACGAGCGTTGAAGGCACTTGATGTTTGTTCTTCTGAAAAAGAGGAAGAAAAAGCTACAGATTCACCKCCGAACAACATCACACGGAACAACCTTGGTGCAAGTCTGCCAGCACGTCTCGACTCATCCACTCTCAATCCGTCTGAAGATGGAGTGGATTGCGATCGACTGCTTTATAGAAAGGTTGCGTCAAGTGCATCGATGGCAGGCAGCAGCACTTCAGAAATATCCATATCACCCGAACCATCATCAGAAATGTTATCCATCAAGGGTGAAGTTCAGATAGCATTAAGGTATGATCACACKAAAAGCGTGTTTGTAGTCGTTGTAATACGAGCGAATAACCTAAAGTCACGGTATACAGCCGGCAAGACAAGCCCATATATAAGATTATACCTTCTGCCTGAAAGAAACAACAATTCGCGACGGAAGACAAAGGTGATCCGTGGGAGTCTRAGTCCGGTATTTAATGAAACATTCCAGTATGAGGTTAGTTTGGATGAGCTTAAAGATAAGGAACTTGACCTTTCAGTCAAGAATGCTCGAGGTGGACTGCGCATACGCAAAGGACGTAATGTAATYGGTCGAACAACTATACCACTGTCAGAGCTAACTTTGTCCTCGGGGGTTACAGTTACTTATGAACTYCATTAATTAAGAAATGAAACTAAAATAGAATGAATAAGTACCGACCAAATAGTGCTAAATAGCGCAGCATAGTATAGATTCGACAAKAGCAAACAAAGAAATTCGTATAATTCAGTACATTTAGCACTGTTTAATTAGTGTGTMGTTAGTCTTTAGTGCAATTCGTTTTCAAGTTACGTCACAGCGGCCATCTTGGAGGAACTTCAACAAAGGTTTCTCATTAGTATCTATTGTTCATTCCTCCAACATGGCCGCCGGTCTTTTATCTTTTGAATCTCATGGGAGATCAATACGCATAAAATGTTACAGCAAATCAACAATAATTTCAAATGATATCTTATAAAACATGGAAATATGAACTCTGCTGCCGGTTTAATTGTCGAATCACTAGGTTTACATTACGGATACCRACTTAAAATGACAGGTACGTTCCACAAAAAATSTACARTGATACAATTGTACCACTGAATTAATTTTTACCACAGATAATAAATATACGACGAAAGATTTTGAACTTTTATTTATTTTTTCCTATTACGTCATCCTGATAATATTAAAATACGAAAAAATATTAAGTGTTCTATTTTGTAACTGCACTGTGAATCAGTTATAACTTTTTAGACCTTGGGATTCCCTGTCTGGACGAAKTATTCCATTTGAGGAAGTGCGCGACGATCATTCTTGAAAATAATTTCTGCCATTCTGTTTGAGTTGGCATCCAAACGATGACACAAAATGCTCAGGCGAGACGATGTATCGCTTCTTCGACGCTTCACGATCCCAAGATTTGCGGTCTACTTGTTAAATTTACTGCAAACGAAAACATATTTGTCGTGGTTTTATGCTAAGGAAAAGTCACTTAGCTCATATCCATTGCCTCACTGGAACCAGAGTCCTTTTGAATAGCATCAAACATTACAGACAATTCAGGGCTTGATTTGATTTGGGCGAGGAAGTCATTAAGCAAAGGACTTTTATCTGGTAAGGAAAAAAAATCCATTAAAATCCATACATAAATCATKAGATAAGGTGGATTGCCGACTTAATCTTCAAAAGAACGAAGATACAAAACTCKRTKSACGCCASAAACTTAATGATTATCAAAGAGATCGTCTMACATAGTGTTGTATTTCAAATGTGCAGAATTCAATACAAATCATCCAKTCTTTTGTTTAAGCTCACTGTTTCATAAATCATGTGAAATACGCCGTATTGACTCAGGCCATGTCCACGTGATGCCAAACATTTTTACATCCGGAATGTTTACAATTAATTACCAGTTGCGTCCAATTGTATCTGACTCAACCGTGCCGTGAAGGACCAACTGTTCTAATTTGACGGCCTCTACTAGCTATGATGTTACGATAGCTTCATCCTTCAACCCATAAATGGCAAATACGTTTATATACGCACACTTATTTCACCTACTTTTTACGGTCCTAAACTTTCTCTGATTTTAAAACTGTTTCTTTTTAAACAACGACGCAGCTCATACTAGTTTACCGCTAGTTTCCATCATATATATATATGCCCAATTAACAAAGAACTGCCATAGCGTGATGCCAATTATTAGCAAATATTGAAACAACCAATCCAGTCTCTCGAAGTGCGAAAAAATAAATAAATAAATCACAAAACCTCATCGCGCGTAAGAAACAACGAAACAAGACTTACCGCTATCTTGTATTGATAACAACGCGACAACGGCTCGTAAAGCTGATCTTTTTAACTCATCTTGTTTTTCAAACTCTTGTTTCACAGAATTAGCTTTGACTTTGGTCTGTAARGTCTGACGGAGTGGTTCCACAAGAATATCTACACCTACAAAAAAACAATCGTTAATACTTATCAACTTGATACGCCAATATAATTMAACAACACATTTTCCTCCGCTCTCATTGGTCGACAGTCGTCCTCTTGACGCGGTAGGGTAGCACCCGCCCCAGAGGGAAACCAAAATAACTGTTTRATAATAAAAAGTACTAGCAGTCATTACTAGATTCCCTCGACATTCATTCGACATCCAGTTTCCGCAGGCAACTATAACACAGCTTAATGCCCTCGATTCAACTCTAARGTTTTAATAAAAATCAATGCAGAATTGAACTCAGTGTGGGAAGATAATGACTATCAAGTATACATACAGATAACAGTCCATAAAAAAACTTACGTTGTAGGACGACATTAGGACAAAGAGATGCCAATCTGACTAACATTAAAAATGTCAGCATCTATACAGAGAAGAAAACAACATTAAGATTATTATTCAAAAAGAGATTCAGGAAATAGTTCATTAAAATTTGAAGTTTTTAAAAACCGAGCTGAAGTAACAATTTTCAGGAAGAGGAAATACACAGGAACAGTGCGAGCAAGCCTGATCAACATCGCTTACAACTGGACGATTCAAGGCATTCACGGGAAATGCGAAAATAAGCTATAATTCACTCTTCAGGAAGATATTCAACGTCAATAGCTTTTCTCAAGGTGAATGACTGGAAGCATTTGACGACGCACCTTAATGTCATAATGATCTTTTAGTCCATCTTCAACATGGTTAAGAAATTCAAATATGTCAAGCCGATCCAAACACGTGTCGAGAAGGGTGTACATACACTCGAAAGCAGCCTAAAAAAACAATGATGAAAATTTACTATTTGTTGATGTCCTTATCAAAAGCAATGATCAATAATATGGGGAATCATGAAGCACTGTCGCAATATATAGCTTATAAGGCCATTATTTAGAGAACTRCTCATAGATTCTCAACTATATTTTATTGCTTTATATATTGCTCATATTATATAGGGATAGCAAACATATAGCTGAGTTTGAAAATGAATTATGAGCCGCCGATTTCGAGATATCTAAGAATTTTTAGCAACAACTTGTTACAATGGAGCAATGGCGAGCCTTTAYTATCTTGAATCTATAACGGTTCTTTTTAACATATTTTTTTATATTTATTAAGAAATCTAAAGTGTAAGGATAACAGTAAACCCAATAGTGTCACAAATATACGAAAATGACCACCATTGAATGCCTTCAGTTTCGGATTCTTCAGTCGAGCACGCATTGAAATCAGATGAGCTTTGAAGCCTTCTAGCCCAAAAACCAAGGTGGTGACCCCCCCATTTTTATTTTACTTTGATGATTTCCCTCTCAAACTTGGTAAATGTGCACTTTTGTATTGAGAATCTAGGAGCGATTCAATTACTACGGTATGGCCCTTACTTCAACGATTAAGACGCAGGGTCCTCATACCTTCCTAATGTCCAAGCCATCATCTACTGTATGTTTGAATGGTCCCATTTCAACTTCTCTGATAAGTTCTTTCTGTAGAAAAAATTGAACACACGCATTTCAAACACTTCCTTTTTTTAGTAAATTAGGTTATTGAACAACGAAGATAATGATTGACCTGTTGATTCACTGTATAACACCCTCGTAATTTACATTTACAGGTACGTTATAACCAAACAGTCTCCTATTTACACTTGTACATGCCGAAAATAGCACAAGCCAACTATAATGGTGGGAACTAGCGGTAAACTAGTGTGAGCTGCGTCGGTGTTTCTAAAGAAACAGTTATGTAAAAAGATAAATTTAACACCGTAAAAAAGTATGTGGAAAAACTTACTGACGTTTCGGATGTTAATCCTTCGTCTTTACTCCGACGAAGGATTAACATCCGAAACGTCAGTAAGTTTTTCCACATACTTTTTTACGGTGTTAAATTTATCTTTTTACATAACAAGCCAACTATGTTTGTTTTTAGGCCTACAGAGGTCTAGGGTATTTAGTTTGGTAAGTAACTATTTTACTAAAACACCCTGTTAGCTCAAAACAGGTGGACTTAATCTAATAGCCATGTAGTAATTACCCGTATTTTGGTTTCATTGTATAACTGCGGTAGAATGCTGTCCAAAAGGTCTCTTATAAGACTTGGTTTATTATGGGCTGCGGAGTTAAATGCCACCAACGCCACTCGTCGAACATTCTGAAAACAAGAAATCCGAGTTAAGAATGCTAAGCTATAAATGCTAATATGACTGGTCAATGAAAGATCTAAATACTTACAAGGTCTGTATCTTGTACTGTGCGAAGAAACTGACCAATGCAAGATTTAAGTTGAAGATCAATTGGTTGAGGCTGATAAAGAAAAGACAAAAGATGAAAACGTGATTTGATCATCATTTCACTTCTTCGCTCATTATTGCATAATCAAAAACATCACTTTAAAAAAAGACCACTGTTTCTAAGTGAATGTCCAGATTTGTGTTATAATCTGGAAGCAAGTCAATTTTGTCAAAGTCACACACATATATTTTAATGCACTTATTAATATCTTCGAGACAGAAAAGAAATACCCGTCATTAAAGGGTTTTAATACCAGCCTGCCCGGTTATATGAAAATAAAGTTATCTATTTCATAACTATTGTGTGGATATTATACAGTAGATAGTGCCTGTAGAAAGTTTATAAAATATTTCGCATTAATCCCTAACTAACGGGTAAGATTAGTTAAATTTTGACAATTACTCCGCCCTCCTTTCCTTGCCAGAATGGTCATAAATTGTACTTACATGATCGGAGATGGTAAACTTCACGGCCGTCACTACCGTGCTCCTTGCAAAAGCTGATCCAGAATCAAGATATTTCTAAAAATCACATGATGTTTTACTACTTACAATAGACAACACAAAAGCTAGATAGAGTGATCGCACTTAAACCGTGCAACTGTACAAAATCTATAGTACTAATTTGTACTAAAAGTGGAACTGAAGCAAGACGGTATTGAATGCTTCATTTGTATCAATTCAATTTAATTTGCGCACCGCGTGCACGATTTACTAAATACAACTAAATAGCACTATTTAGTTTGTACAGTTGCACGGATTAAGTGCRWTCACTCTACCGCATGCRCGATTTACTAAATACAACTAAATAGCACTATTTAGTTTGTACAGTTGCACGGATTAAGTGCGATCACTCTAGCATTCACTGATTAAAAAAAATACACCCTTGAACAAACATATAATAATGTGATGTTCCATTTGCTTTATGATGTGATAGTACCTGCAGTTGTGGAAGCAAGGTGACTGGATCAACCAAGGTAAGTTTACCAAGACATTCCGCTACAACATTTCTGGTACCTTCTTCTGTGCTTTCACAATGACTAAACAACAATGCCCTGTAGAAAAATGTACTGTGTTATTTTTATTTGATGCACGCATAGAAATTAAGACGACCCTACACTATGTGAGTGTATATTTCTGTACTAAAGACATGAAAGACGGTAATGTCAGCCTATGGTATCCATGGTAAAGTTTTGCATTACGAAAAGTAGATTAGAGTATTTTACAGCCAACTGCGTCCCCAAACTCTAACTCATTTTTTCCAGTATTTTACAGGATGTCAAATACTGGACAAACATATCATCCAAGATGCGAGCTCTATTCGGCTGTCAGGGGTCGCAGTTCGCCCTTCAAGGCATGCAATTAGCTTTTTTGGTGTTTGCCCTAGTATAAAAAATGTCAATTTTTGTGATTTGCATAAAAGAGGGTGATAATAACGTATAATTACCATATTGACTCAATAAACGGTCTTAATGCTTGCACACCAGCAGAAGAACATGCTTCACAAGAAATGACCTTTAGAGACCAACACACACAGTATTAAACACAATAGTYTGTTTGCCTAAATCCCACTCATGATTTCAAAAGAACTCCTATCACAATCTAAAATATGCTACATTCTTTACATGACAGCATCCAACTCACTTCTTTTAGGGAATGGAGCAGTAAATATTGTTTTTTTGGTGATGCCTCTATTTCCTTTAACAAGAACGGTAGGTACAACTGAAGATTACCAGCTGCAATTTTACCTAAATGAATAAAATGAATATGATACAATCAATTACCATATTTTACTTGATATCCCTCCCATTATTCAGAGTGGGTTATCACTTTGTCGCAGCAAACATCAACAGTGGCTCAGGGAGGAAGAGGGGAGTAGCATCTCTCAAGATACAAACAGCTGGAATAACGTGCTTTGAAGACTATTATAATATAAGATCTATTATTGTAACTTATCTGATTGACATACCAAGAGCAAACGATGCTGCAGACTTGATCTCCTCTGAAGGTGATGAAAAGCAATTTAAGATTGCATTGGCTAGGTCACCATGGCTGCTCAAATCACTAAAATAAAACACACAATTTTTCATACTTTGCAATCCAACCAATAATTGCCAATCAAGTAACTTACACATGTTTTCCTATTTCACCAAGAGAGAGAAGTGAGAATAGCCTGACAGCATCAGGCACTCTAGAACTCTGTAGAATAGAATTCAACTATTATTTTGCATCAATTAGTCATGTCATAGAGACTCAGATACCTTGACCCATGCGTAACATCCCTGGTACAACAGCACTTTACCCAGTMATCAGTGCTTTGAAATACTAGAAGTACTTCTTACCTAAACTGTAGCCCCTCCCCCCTTGAATTCATTTCCCCCTGTTATACCTGGTATCAGACCCCCTGTGGGATTTGACATCAACACTAGTAAAGGGGAGGGGGGGTAATATATATATCAGATTTTAAAAATGGTGGAAATTAAATGCATTCAGCTATAGCTGCTGATTCTTATTTCCTTCTTTAAAAAAAAAATAAGACTTGTGAGAAGAAATATAGAAAGAAGGAAATAAAGATAAGCTTAGTATACAATAGTATACAATTGACACTTCAAATATAATGAATTTTGTAGAATTATGATATGGAACAATTTAGAGTCTATTATACCTGGATATCTTTGACAAATCTGTTGACTACCCCTTCGCCATCTTTAGCACAAGAAACTGTCAGAGCTGCCACACACTTTGCAATAGAGTAATATGCCTAGATAAACAATCAAGATACAAGGGTAAGCWTTGGGAAATAAATGTAGACACAAAGCAGTGCAATATTTCATGGTAAACAATATCAGACAGACAGGTAAAGGAAGAGGATAGACTTAATGTACTGTAGTTATTTCATTGAATACCAGGGAATTGGTTGCTTGCTGAGTTCTCAACAATTCTTTTATATATAACAGTATKTATCTCCTTTATTTTACCTTGTARTTATTATCAAAGCAATCAACAAAGCAACAAAAAATCAAATGCTTTAGCTCAATAATATAAATAATATTTATAATAATATAGCATTTCATCAACTGAGGAGCTGAAATAGCTGAAACACAATTTTTGTTAATTGGATTAATTGTTGTTCTATTTCACACCTACTTKCAAGACTCTTGACAAATTAAAAGAAAATCACTTATAACAAGATTAACTCGTAGTCAAATGCTATTTTCCTTATGTTTAATTCAAGCATGGGCAACTCAGAAGTGTGCTAATTTCCCATTCTTATGTAACAATAGCTTAAACAAAAGAAATGGCATGACATTCCCATAGACTCAGAATGCTTGCAATCATCATTCTACCTGTTTGTGTAGTGAATGCCCACTTCCATGGGGAGCATAGATAGGCGACACAAGCATCTAAAGAAAATAATAATTATTTGACAGCATTAATAATATTATTTACACTTCTTCACTCATTCACTCTGATGCACAATGCAAAAAAAAACATCATAACTGCAGTCATATGMTTCTTACTTACTAAGTTACATTAAATGAAACTCGGCCTAATTCAGCTTAAACTCAGATTAATTCTTGCTTTTTAGGCTTTAGCAATCAAGCCAATAGTTCTATTACATTTGCATTTTGAGCTCATAAATATCAGCCAGGCTCTGACAAATGTGAGAGAGTAGAGTCTTTCATATGACTTACATATCKGATACATGCTGATGTGCATATAGAAGGCTCTCATGACCCATGGAAGGTTCATTGAATATATATTCAATCTTATGTATATATACATGGTTATTTATGCCTGCTGTTGCATAAACATCACAAAAATTCAGGTTGACTCAGGCGAATTGAATGCATGGCTTAATGATTAGGATTAGGGAAAATATCARGTTAGGCAATGCATATAGTCTCCTACGCAGCCTCATCTTTTGTCGGGCTTCCTGTGGGAAGGACAGGAAGCCCAACAAAAGGGGAGACTGCGAAGAAGACTACAATGCATAGCGCTGATTCGAATTTTCATGCTGTTTTTTTTTAATTGTTTTCAGTTTAAGTTTAAGTCTTTGAAAACTTTCTTAGTTCTTCTTCACATAATTGGGACATSAGAGCATTCTATGTGTACATCAGCACCATGTACAAGAACAACCATATATGGAAGTCATACCACAGACACTTCTCATTTGAGAAGGACCAGTACCACCTTCAATGTAGACAATYTGATAAGTAACCAATCACATTGCAGCTTTTTGTTCAACATTACAATGAGGGTGAGAATACTGTTACAATTTAATTGGTTAATTCTGTYATCAGTTCCATCTCTGTCTAGTTTTACTGATTCCTGATTTAAGCTATTAAGTGGTCCTGGTTAAGTTTGAGTCTCCTCATGGTAATAATTATTGTAATAACATTATGTCTGGAGTTTAGGCCCATYATGAACTGTATCAACAAATCATTCAAAAATCTTCTACAACATTTGGTRCTTTTTCTGGGTACTTTATACATGTACATAATAACATTGCATAATGATCTATTCTAATAATAGTAGTTTGTTTATTAATTATTTATTTACAACATGTACCTCAAATAAATTAGAAAATGCCATGCCCTGAATGCCTGAATTGACAAGCTCCATTAACAAAGTAAGCATTGCATTCAATGCCCCACCTGATAAACAAACAAACTATCCATCAAATGTGATTCAAATAATCTTATTTCAATTTCTTACCAATCATCAGATATGACAAAGCATCGTTATGTACCACTTCCATGAACAATTGAATTAATTAAATTGAATTAGTTAATAAAAACATTCCTGAAATATTTCTCTCAACTCTTTTTTTTTTCTTATTTTGCATAACATAATTTCCCTGTATTATGTTCAGCTGCTTCAAATACAACAAATAAATTAAAATTTCAGTCTTCATTTTGAAAGTAAAGATTTTTTACGCCCTTTTAATAAGTCCCCAGGTATTGATTTTTCCGCACTTGACGTCAAATTTATTCTTTTGAAATTTTGACAATACAAAAGGAATTCAAAAGAATAAATTTGACGTCAAGTGCGGAGAACACAATACCTTGGGACTTATTAAAAGGGTGTATAGGTGTGATTTAGATAATGTCTTTCAATGGTAGTCCAAAACTCTACCAAACCATGCATCTCAATTACAATCAAAACTAAAAAACTAACAAATGTGGTATCACTAATCCTACTGCCAAACATCAATATAACAGTTTCCATAGGCTTTCTATGGTGAGTTCTAAGCAATGAATTGTCAGTGTACCTTGTAAAAGTGGCGATTTTACTAATTCCATCACAGCTGGAAGTGTTGTTGAGCTTGCCTGCAAATAGCATACACTCCATTATTGCAATTGCAATTGTGAGCAAGTATCAAAAACAATAAAACTTTTTATTAATTTAAAACCTTTTTTTACTATGAATCCTGAATCACTTAAAAATTGTACTCTAAGTAAAATAAAGACAAGTGTTATCGTAATCCTGTGTCATGATGTCCCACCACATCATACATGCCCACAGGTTGTGAAGKGAATCATTGATTGACACTAGATCATGGCATAACTGGAATACTTACTTTAGCCATACTATTGGTGTGTACCTTGGCAGTAGCAGTCAATAAGGATAATGTCAGCTAAAACAAAATAACCACATSCTCAATATTTTGTAGTSAAGATTTYTCTTAAATAAATAGTAGAAATTTTTGTYATTCTGTGCTCTGTCAMTGCRCTTCACCACACAGAAAACATTTAATATTGTATAATTCTGCAAACAGATGGCGCAACATGTTATGTTTATTGGATACAATGATTTACATTAGAGTGCTATGATAATAATATTAATTTATGTTATTTAAAATGGTTTTGGATGTCTGGGTAAAGACGGCATATTTGCAAAAATAATATACATGTACACCAGCTGAAACTGGAAGCAACAAGTGCGGATCAACAGCTATACAATCAATAATTATTATTATACCAGGTATTAATTCCCAGGGACCCATCAACCTATCACGATGATTGGTCACTCCCTAGTGGTTGTCGCAAGCAGCCCTGTTCCCTATGCCATTTACAAACGTATTTATAATATACTTGAACTTCAATGTTAAAGTAATACGTCAAGATTGTTTTTCACTCTACATGTGCATTTAATTTAATATGTACATATGTTAAATAGGAAATCTATATCAAATTTACCTACATCATTCCTAGCATTTATGAGTTTGGTAGCTTTTTCAGTTCTGTAAATTAATTGCTGTCTATAATATGTATGCTACAACATTATTGCACAATAGTTATCTAGATTACCTGGGAGATATGCAAGTCACTTTCATTAATCAAAGGTGGAACTTCATTCAAAACATTGGCTATGTTGTCCTCTGAAAGGGACTTCCCTGGATAAAAGAATATACTTGAGCATCAACACAACTGAAACCACAGGAATTCTATCATCTAGAATCTTATGCAAAAAAAAAACAACATAGCTGTTCATATATATAATTATATACTACACAGTAAAGCCCCGTCTAC